TGAAAAACCCCTGGAGCCAATGGGGGGTGATGTATATCTATGTAGTGTGTAAGTACACCGTATGGTTCGAATTACAGAGGAGCTAAGTGGATCTTGGCTAACCTAACCCCTAACCCCTAACCTTAACTAAAATAACTGAACAATATACAAGAATTTTGGCATTTTTTGCACTGCTGGGTTGGAGATCAAACCCCGCCTTTCCGCAGGTCGCAGTGAGACATACTTGGACAAAATGCATTTTGTGAACTAGAGGACTTCTGTCCACAAAATACAAGGTGCTGGTAACAATTCTGTGTAGAAAATTAATCATTCTTTTTGATTCCTGTGCATGAAAGAAAGTGAAGTCGTCATGCTTTCCTGGCCAAATGTATTTCTGTGGACAAAATGCAGCAAGGCGTTACTTGATTTCATCATTAAATAATACCTTTTTTTGGCACTGGACCAAAAGCTTAGGACGCATCATTGCGTACAGCAACTCCAAAATCTGATTATGATGCTGAATGGGGGAGCCGTCATTTTTGCGAAACCCCCTTTGCTTCTAGACTGCTCCAAACAGATGGAGAGTCTGTGTAGATTGTATCTGTCTTATGCTGTCCTTGCCAGCACTCTGCAGTCAAGGCCTTTAGCTACGCCAATTGAGCAGAACAGTGAAATAACTCTGAAATAACAGTGTAAAAATCATCACCCTGAGCCTGAACCACAGCAAACCCCGCCTTCGAGGCATCTCCAAATCTCCAACAAGAGCCATCCACAAACAAAACCATCTCACTATTTTCAATGGGGGAGCTCTCCAAATCTGGTCTCAGTTTAGTGTAAACCAAAGACTCTGCCACACACTCATGCGGCTGCCCCTCGTCCTCCAGGGGAATGCTGCCCGCAGGGTTCACTGTAGTGCAGCGCTTTATGGTCACATCCGGGTAAGTGAGAAATGCAAAGTATGCTAGCTGTCGTGCCGGGGTCAACACAAATTTGCCTTTGTCAATGTCCACCACTTTACGTGAAGTATAAATTGTCACTGGATAACTCATTGTGACTTTTTCATAGGCTAAATAGGCAGCCACCACACCATGGAAACATGGCAGGTATCCCTGAGCCACATTGTCTAGCTTCATGCTGTAGTATGCCAGTGGCTGCTTCCATCTGCCAGGACAGAGGTCCTGAGTCAGCAGGGCCGTCCCAAAGCCGTCCTTCCTGGTCCCGACATACAAATAAAACGGCTTAGTGTAATCTGGGAGGCCCAGAGCAGGTGCATTCTGTAGCTCCTGCTTGATGGATTCAAATGCTACTGAGGCCTCATTTGTCCAAATTAGTGTGGCCCTCCTTCTTCATCAGTGCCCACAACGGTGCCACCTTCACAGCATAGTCCTCAATCCAGTCCACGCTGAATCCTGTCATCCCTAAAAAAGTCAGCATTTGTGACACAGTCATAGGTTTCGGAGCCTTAGTGATCCCCTCTAGCTGTTCTGCTGCTATAGCCTTCCTCCCATGGCTGATCTCACACCCCAAGTATGTAACCTGCTCTTGGCAGTGCTGCAGCTTGGCCTTGGACACCTTATGCCGCCCTTTCGCTAAGACCTTCAGCAACTGTACTGAGTCTTGGTGGCAGTCTGCCAGCGTGTCAGCACACAGCAATAGATCATCCACGTACTGTATCACTGTACTTTTTAAATTCAGTCCATCTAAATCTGCCTTAAGAACCTGATTAAACACATGTGGCGAGTGCTTAAATCCCTGCGGCATCCTCATGTAGGTATACTGCTGACCCCTGTAGGTGAAAGCAAACAGAAACTGTGACTGCTCTGCGAGGGGCACACTGAAAAACGCTGAGCACAAATCCACAACTGTAAACCATTTTGCAGTGACGGGGCACATTTGTCAACAGTGTGTATGAGGATTAGGAACTTCTGCTGTCTGACCCTCCACTACCTCATTCACTGCACGCAGCTCATGAACCAGCCTCCACTTTACACCCCCTGCCTTTGGTACAGGCAGGAGGGGGGTGTTGCTGCAGCTAATGGTACTGTAGGTACCAACACCCCTGCCTCCAGTAACCCCTCTATCGTTTCCCTTATACCTTCCTCTGCCTCAGGTTTCAAGGGGTACTGGTTTTTCCAGGGTGGTGTGCACCCTGGTTTAAGATAAATTTCCACTGGGCTAGCTGAATTTACTAGGCCTACATCTGTGTCATGGGTGGTCCACACCTCCTCAGGCACTACCCTTTCCATTTCCTGCCAACATTCCTCTGTACTTTCTTTTGCATCACACTGCACCCAGGGGTGAAAGTAAGCCGGTACGCTCCGGTACGACGTACCCTTATAAGATTTACAGCCGGTACGTAGTACTGGTAAGAGTAGAGGGTCTATGCGGTCTAAAAAAACACATTTACAATGAGTAACGTCCGCTTTAAGTTGAAAACACATCTACCCACAAAATGTAATTTGAGACATGCATTCGATGAAGAGAATAGCGTTTAGGCTACTCGAAATAGCTATTAGTCTGTGGAGCACTTGCACGCGTCTGCTGCAGACAGGTCTTTTATTTGCGCTCTGTCGGACTTTGGCAGGGCGTTTGGTGTGAAGAATCCCCTCGATAAAAATGTGTTCCTCTTTTGTGGTGATTTGTGTTTATTCCGACATCACAGAGCGCTGCACAGGTGTTTTCTGTCAGACAAACTATTGTCATGCGCGCATATTAGGCTACTTTGAAGGGGTGCGCTGCAGGGACGCTCGAATTCATTATACGAGGATTTCACACTACAAATTTTATTACAGTAGTGCCTGGGCTTAAAAAGAAGGCTAAAAGGTACCAATTGTTTTTTAAAAGGTTGAGAAAGCCAGCACTTTTAATAATTTCTGCAAATGTCTACTTTGCTCTTTCTGTCGGTGCGTTTTTGGAACTCCCCAGGCGTCACCTCTCTAAAGTCTCGAGCTTGCGCTGCATCTTCCGCAGTTATTCAGGCAATAAAATCTTTGTCTTTTATAAAAAAGACAAAATGTGTAAATTATATAATTGTTTAATTGGCATCTTTATTTCAAACGACCTGACCGACCGCGACCCGAATATTATTTAAAAATATATTTTTTTTGTGATTGGATAAATTTTTGCATCACTGGTGCGCTGAGACGTTGGATTTTCTAACCAGATCCCGGATCGTGGGCTCTTAGTGGTGGTTGCAGCTCGGACAAATAATAAATGACTCTTCAAACTCAAAACATTCTTAAATATTAAAGTTTTTTTTCAGGAGCGACTGAAGAGAGATATAAAACGATAAAGTGATTAAAATCCTGTATAAATGGGCCCCACTGTTCTAGAATTTCCCAAACTTTTCCAGTAACATCTTCAATCGCGTATAAACTATACTGCTGTCACACCCCGATCGTGCTGATCCTCCTGTGCCACGCCCCCCCGTTAAGCTCATGTCGATTCCCTGTGTTTAACAGCTGTTTCTCATTGTCTGTATTAGTACGGTGTATTTAAGTCCACGTCAGAGTTTGTTTCCATAGTTCTGTCATTGCAGTGTCGTATTGTTGTAGTTTCGTGTAGTGCCGTGTTTTCCTATTAAACCCTTTTGTTTAACCCCCGTTCCTGCATGCTTCCCTGGTTCGTGTTCCGCGATCTGTGACAACTGCCCCCTATTGAACAAGAAATTTTGTCGCAGAAGGCTGTACTGTCCACTGAGCACCTCTACGCCCCCCTCTGTACATTTTATGTCTATCTGCAGCTGACAGAAAGCATCTCTGCCTAACAAATTCACTGGGGTGTGCTCTGATATTAGTACGGGCGTATTTACATTTTTCCCATATGTTGTGGTTTTTCCTTCTCCGCCAAATGAGAAGTCAGAAGCCACTGGTGTAGATCCAAATTTATTGCAACATTGAACTTACAACCAAGGCCGGACACTTAAAGTGTGTCCGATACTGTTTTACACCAGTTTTTATACATTTTCTCGCCACTTAAGCATCTTCATTCCCTCAAGCATTCACCATCGTTTTCTCCCTTAATCTACACCCCTATATGATGTTTGTCAATCATCTCTTTTACTGTTTGGTGCCTCGGCTGAACATAACGGTGGCGTGACCATCTCTACTGTTTTTTAAATGCCCAGCCGTGAACTTTTGGTGAACTCAGGCGAATCCCTTCCTTCAATAGCAAACCTTGGCAGCTTCTGCTTGTTGCAGCTTGTCTGGCTAGGTGGTTAATAAGATATTTGTCCTTCTACATAGTGATAAGCTGCAGCACTAATAAATTACATATTCATACACTAAAGGCTAACAAAATGGCTAACAGATACGGAAACTTCTAAGCCAACACAAGGTGCTCATTCATACTTGTTTTTCGTCACATTGTGCACAGCAGTAATTGGTCTGCATTCTCTAAAGATTACAAGGTCAGTCTCTACCTAGTTTACATCAGCTTCTTAAAACAGTCCTAATGATTACATTCTCTATGCGTTATGAAGTGCTAAATAATATTCCATAAAAACACATTTCTTTCACTTCTCAATGCACCACTTTAGTTCTCTATTCTGAACTTTTTACTCTATAATTAGACAATTTCCTTAAAACTGTTTACTGCAGTAGCCTTACTTCTTGAATCAAGACAATAACTTGACTTTAAAAATGAGTACTTTATGCCAAAGCATATTAGTTCCTCTTACCTATATGAAAGCCTGTTTTCTAAATGCAAGCTCATATTATATGTTTAGCAGATTAAATGTATCATCATAATTCAGCCATTACATCATCATATATTTTAAGTTGACAGTGCATGATTATGATATGCATAATGTTTGATTTTTCTTCCACAAGCACTGATCACCTAATTCTAAACATTGTAAAGAAGAGCACCATCATTGCTTACTACTCTTGTGAAACTGTGAAAAAATTATATTTATTAATGTTCAGTCAACCATTCCACCTCACGGGTATTAGGGCTGCTGGACTCGCGCAAAAAAGCTCATGAAATTCTTCGCTCCCTGTTACGCGCTGCTGTTTCTCTAGCTCTGCCCACGGTCAGGTCCACTCAGCTCGGCCCCTGCCCCGCCTCCCCGTCCGGACCCCGCCCACGACTTCCCGCAAGACCGGCCGTCACTTCCGTCCGGCGAAAAGGTTGGTTATTGGTTTACGATTATTCGCTTTGCCCTTTCCTGTACTTCTGCCTTGGTTTGTTTGCTTTTTGGTTTCGATCTCCTGCCCGGTTTTTGGTTTACGTCTTCGCGCGCCCCTCGGATTCTGACGCTTTGCTCTGTGTATGTTCTGTGTGTGTGTGTGTTAGGTGCGTAGGGAGTGGTTGCCATAACCCTAGACTGTGGTTCGTAACAGTCCCCTTGGTGAGCAATGCGAAGTGAAAAGATACACTGTGAGATCACTGCAAGATATCATGTGAGAGGCTGCTGTAAACACACATCCTCCAAAGCAGCACTGCACATATATTTCACACATTTATGAGTTACTTGACTTTTTGCATGTCATCTGTGGCTTTTGCAAAACTCCCAAAAAAATCCCATTTAATTTCTTATACCGATACTCTGATGTATATAGAAATTGCAGTGACGAAAGTCATGATGCAGAGGGGTAAACTGTACAAATACAATATTAATGCCCTATCCACACTCTTATCCTGTACTGTGATAGAATATAAATTGGCAATGAAAGGTCGCAACATGAAAGGGATAGACAATCGATTTTGTATTATTTTTGCAACTGTAGAGAAACTTAACAAGCAGCTTCATCTCCCACCTACAATCAAGCATCGCAAGTGTTCCACATCCGGAGATGACTGTAGAGGATGTGATGCTCTCCCTCAAGTGGGATCTCCCTCCAACATCTGTCTGGGAGTCTGTCCAGAACACCTCCAGTCCTGCTTGGAGTACGGTCAGTCTGGAGCATCTCCAAGCCCAGTACTGTATGGGAGACACCTTAGATGTGCGTGTGGACATGCGGGACCACAGTGGGAGGCCCAAGACTCATGGAGGAGACTTCATATTGGCCCGGATTCACTCCCCCAAACTACAGGCCTCCACCACAGGAGCCGTCACTGACCTCCGCAACGGCTCCTACCGTGTCCGCTTCACCCTGCTCTGGCCTGTGGAGGTGCAAGTCTCTGTGCTCCTCATGCACCTTTTTCCTTAATGAAAATTATGGTAATTTGATAGTATAAACACTTATATTTGGCTGAAATCTGCTAGCCTCAGAGATTAAAGGGCAGTTCACCCCAAATCTGAAAAAATATATGTTTTAGCGGGGATATAGTGCTATGTATTCATCTAGCTTGTTCTGCTGTGAGTTGCCTAGTTTTGGGGTAAACTTCCCCTTTAAGAAATTGGTGTTGCAAGTTGGTTTTGTACACTTTGACAAAAAGTCATAGTTTCAAGAGTTGAAAATTTAAATTGACATCCTGAAATATGCGGTGTTATCTGTATTCTCTCTCTGTCTATAGTTACCCCCATCAGCACAGGTAGGGATTGTGCTCAGAGAATCAGTCCCAACATCCCGAGTGGTTATTACTGGAGAAACCAGTGGTCTTCCTTCTGCTGTCAAACTGGCAGCTTCTTCACTTCGGAGTCCATCAACAGCTGTCTGAAGGGAAAGACACTCTACTTTATGGGAGACTCTACTATGCGTCAGTGGATAGAGTTTATGAACAGCTTACAAAATGGTCAGTTCTCACAACCATTAAATATTGCAATGATTTTTCCTACTTTTTTACTTTTATTAATAAATTCCACATCTTCCTTCTTCACTGATGTACATGGTACATTAGTACATGTTTTTATCCCTGCTTCTTAATGCTCTATAGTCCTTATGCCTGTTATAGCCTGTGTACACATTGCAAGTCTGCTAGGCAGATTAACACATGATTCTAGTGCATGGAAACTTTACTGTCAGTTAAGAAAAACAACTAAATGTTTGACGTGCATACTGGTAAATCACAGTTATTGATGTTTTTCTTCATTGTTGCTCTTAGAAATGTTTGTTAACCTTCAATTACCAGATAAAAGCAAAGACTACCGTGGCTTTTCCCTCTTGAAGATTCTTAACATTAAGAGCAACTACACCGTCTACTGGAGAAATCACGGTCATCCCAGGATTACAGTTAGTAAAATTAAACTCATCGAGGCTCCCTACATTTCCCGGGATTTGGATGCTATCGGAGCAGAGGGAGAGGACACAGTGGTGGTGATCGGAGTGGGGCAGCACTTCCGGGCCTACCCCCTGGAGCTCTTTGTCCGCAGGTTGCTGAGCCTGCGGGGGGCCATCCAGAGGCTGCAGGCCCGCAGTCCCGGGACCCGCATCTTCATCAAGCTGGAGAACACCAGGGAGCTCTCCTCAGAACCAGAACGCTTCAGCGACTGGCACGGACACCTGCAGAACCTGGCTCAGAGGAAGGTGTTCGGGGACCTGGAGGTGGGGTTTGTGGATGCCTGGGAGATGACAGTGGCTGCCAACACCTTTGCCATCTACCCCAACCCAACATTCATTGCCAGTGAGGTGGCGGAGTTTCTGTCCCGTCTCTGTCCTACTCCACAGGATACCAGTGCTAGATCAGTGTCATGTAATAAATTTTCTTAATCTTTGTAGACAAATTTTGTGTCTTACTTTGGATACTGAGTCTGTGCTGCAGTGATAAAGGCAAAGGGTGGTTATTTTGATGAAAGTCATACTTAAGCACTTGCATTCATTAAATTGCACTTACAATGCACAGTAAATTGTTACATTACACTTCAAAACCAATCGGTTATATTTCTATGAAGTATTTCTCATAATTTTTTGTTTGAAAAAGCAGTGCATCGTTGATTTTTTTCTGACTTATACTGTATATTCAGGTCTTTTTGTTCATTAGTCAAATGACACACTTCTCCTTTTATAATACACTACCATAAGGTGGACTGGCAAAGGGAAATGAGTGAAAAGGGGAAAATTCAAGCAAACTCCAAGGGGTAAAATAGAACAAAAGCAAGTTGGGCACATTTGCCCAGGGCTGGCCTGCTGTATAGACAACACCGACGATCACCTAGGGCACTATTTGATTACGGGGCACAAAGGGGTGAGTGAAAAAATCTGAAGAAATACCCGCTTCCATAATATTACAGGT